CATACAAAGGTGGTAGTCATGGTCTTTGCTTCTCAATCACTTATATATTGGAGAAATAGAGAGATACAGATATGTAAATAGCTACTCTGAATACAAGGAAATATTCCTAGGTTCAAACTCAAGTTTGTAAACTGCTATGTGAATAAAGAGAAAGAAGTTATTAATTTGATGACCATAAATAATAGGTTCACTGAAGAGATGGTACTGAAGTAATTTCTGAGGTGGATATGAAAGATATGGATGTGGGAATAATAAGCACATAAGAAGATGAAGCCAGTGGTGTGAAGAATAAAATGAAAGAAATTCAAGAGAGAAAATTTCAAAATATTGAAGAATATCTATAATTAAAGGGTGACTAAAGACAAAAGAGTTAGAAAAGAAGAAACAGAATATGTGATCACATGGAATAGGAGCTAGGAAAGAACTGTATCTTACAAAGTAAGGTGTAGAGAGATGAGAATATTAAGAAAAGGGTGTGGTGACCACACTCTGTTGAGAGAGAATCAAAATCCAGTAAACAAAACAGGCTGATGGATTTGGTAATTGGTGATTATATTCCACGAGGTTAAAAAGGGAGAGTGTAGTGAAGAGGTGAATAAAGAAAATATATTCATCATTTTTGTACATACAGGGAGACACAGAAAGACAGCTTGAGTGGGATAGGGTCCCAAAGATTTATAATCTTTTTATTCAATGGAGACATTTGAAAAATATTAGGATAAATAGAATAGTAAAATCTAGAGGCAAAGAAAGATAATGAGATACAGAGACAGACACGTAAATACACATTCAGTGATTCAAGGAGATGAGATATGAGGGAATATAGATCAATAAAAAAGAAGAGACATTTCTTCTGAAATGGAACAGAAGGAAGAAATATTGAAACAAGATCACATTTAGTTGAAGTTTGAAAGGGGTTACAAAGATTCTGCAAGTGTGGGCTGAGATAACTAGAGGTAAATAAAATAACTGAACAGCATTGTTAGGACTTTGCTGAGGAACAGTGATGTGGATTTTTTCTCCAAAGGTTCTCTGATTTCTAACTATCACAAGTGTTCACTCATATGGGCTCACGAGCAGGGTGTATAGACATCTCATTTGACCAAGTTTAGAAAACCAGTCAATTAAAGGAGGTGTATGAAAGTAGGAGGAACTTCACAAACTGAGAAAATAGGGAGAATGTAAGAATATGGTGAATTGGGTGTAGTGGGAATGAAGGATCACAGGGGACAGTGGTTTAGAGAAAAAGACAGGTCTTAGGTTTGCAAATTAGGACAAGTTTTAATTGTTGTCACAAGAGAATGAGGTTACACTGAAGTAGGAGTATCTTAAAAGGAGAGAGAGTTAAGGAATTGTAGTGCCAAATAGTCACATGGGTTATGCATCTGAAAATTGATGTCACCTTGAACAGCAGTCTTTGTAGAAGAGAACATTATTAGAAGCACAGTTTGGGTGTGGGACCTGGGGTGACTAATGCTGATATGGAGGATGAGAAGTTGAAGGTGTACTTGGGCCTCAGAGTGAGCTTCAAAGGAGGAGTGATAGCTGAAGGAAGGTGATGAAACAATGGAACACAAGGAGCTGACATGAGTGAGGTGCAGACAGAACTGCTCTCTTGGCACCGACAGAGAAAGATTGAGTAGCTTCTCTTCCCAGAATAAAGTCTATCAAATTTATGAAAATATTCTCCCACACTAATTAGTTTTCTTGTCACATTGAAATTTACAACCTAGTTGAACTTTTTGTGCATGTATATGTTATGAGTTAGAGGTCCAGTTTCATTTTCCTTTGTATTAATATCCAGTTGAATCAGCCTCTTTTATCAAAAAGTATTTTGTTTTTCTACTTATCTTCCACTCCAACTTTGTAATAAAATAAAAATCCATGTATATGTGGGTTTGTTTCTGGGTTTTCAATTATGTTACATTATTATATTTATCTATCTTTGAATCAATACCATGCTGTCTTACTTTGCTAAAACATTATTTTACCAATGATTTATTTGACATCTATAAACTGACATCTAGTCCTTCAACCTTGTTCTTTATCTTCAAGAGTGACTTAATTTCACTCTTAACATATGCATTAGATTATTAAAAGAAGTATGGCAATTTGCACAAAAGATAAAATGGAATTTTGTTGTGATTATAATGAATGCAGAAATAAATTTAGGAAGAATTCCTTTAAAACTTGACATTTCAAATCAACATGTTATATGCTCCATTTATTCATATTCCATTTATTTAGATTGTCATAAATTTTTCTAATATTTTATAGCTTTCTGTGTTGAATTTCCCATATCATCCACTTACTTTATTACTGAATTTTTTTTCACATTTTTATATTATAACGTGTTCTTTACATATGCTCAAAGGAAAGTCTATAATAAGTGGATAGCATACAACTGATTTTTATATATTGTCCTCATATTCTGCTACCATACTAAATTCACTGATAAATTTTAATAATCTATTCAAAGTATATTATCTGTGGATCATGAGCTTCACTACTTTCATTATAATCCCTATACATTTTATTGCTTTTTCTTGATTATAGCACTGGCTATGATAAGCCCTGATGGGCAACTGAACTGGTATTGATGTTCAAGAGGATATTTGCAACATTTCCAATTAAGTCTGATATTTACTGCAAATTGTTATCCACAGTTTTTAAAATTAAGAGAGTTCCTTCTATTAGCGTTTGTTAAAAAAAGTAATTTTATCATGCTTAGATGTTAAAGTTTATCAGATCCTTTTGTTGCATTTGACTGAGTTGATTAAATTTTTCCAATTTTTTTCTCTTTTTTATTTCAAAAGGTATGTTGTTAAGGATATATGATCTTAGTATTTCTATATATTCACAATGTAATGAAACAAAATTATCATGAACTCTATTTATCTCTAGAAAATATTTTATCCTTAAAATGTACTTTTCCTTGATACTAATATAACTTACTTTTCTTTTGTTTACTGATTTCGTGACACATTTTCTCTATAACTTTTACCTTAAAACTTTTTTCCTTCTAATTTGTACACATATATTTTAAATAGCATGTCATAATGTTTTCATATTATATCAACTTTCACAATTATCTTCTTTTAATTAGAGAATTTGGTATACTTAAATTTAATGTAATTACTGATCTATTTGATTTAAAACTACCATCTCAATTTTGGCCTTCTATTTTTCCTATTTGATGTCCATTTTACTTTCTTTGTACATTGGAATTATTAAGTCAATGAGACTCCAGTTTTCTCCCTTTTAATTTTGCAACTATATATTTTAATTATTGATGGAAATACTCAATATTCATTTGTATTTTCCACCACAGTTACCTTTTTCGTTGCTTCCCTAATTTCCAAACTGCTGTCTTGTAACATTTTCCTTCTAAAGAACCCTTTATATTTCCCTAATGTGAGTCTACTGGTGACTAAATTAACAATTTTTGTTTTTAAAATTCTTTATTTCAACCTCATTTTTAAGTTATTTTTGCTTGGTATAAAATTCTATACATGCAATTAAGTTCTTTAAGCACACTGATGACATCATTCCATTATATTCTACTTCTATTACTGTTGTTCCTTTGAAATATTTTTTTTTCTCCTCAAACTTTGAAGATTTTTTTCTGTCGTTGGTTTATAAGAGTTTTATATTCATGTTCCTAGGTGTTTTTTCCTTTCATTTATTGTTATTAGGGTTCATCTGGATTACTGCACCTATAATGATGGCTTTCATAAATTTTTGAGAATTTTCATCTACTATATTTTGAAATATATATTCAGCCCCATTATCCTCCCTCCCCTTCTCAGGCTCTATTTGTATGTAAAAGCTTTTCACTCTTTCGTCTATGCTTCTTACTCTCTTAGGTATTTTTCACCCATGTTTTTTCTCTCTGACTTCATAATGTATATTTTATTTTGATCCACATTTTCCACTGTTTTCTACTTTTATCTTCAGCTGACTTTAATATCCTAGTAAAACTGCACACTGATTTCTCAATACTAGTCTTTACACTTCTCAATTCTAAAATTTACTTTTTTTCAGCTCCCAATTCTTGGGCAAAAGTGTCGTGTCTCTAAGAAAATTAAGCTGTTTAAAAATTTATCTGATACATGCAATACCTGAATCTCCAGTGGGTATGCTTCTCTTGTGTGATTTAATTGCTATTGTTCGTGCTTTTCTTATCTCCTCAAGTACTCAGTTATTTTGATTTAGTGAATTCACTTTTTATGAAAAAGTGTACAAATAATTTGAAGCCTTGGGTGATAGTAACTTCCTCAAGAAATAATTAACATTCAGCCAAGGCAGGGACTGGTAATACTCACAAACTCAATTCAGTTATAAAGATTAAGAAAATTTGAAGCTGGATTGTTTTAATGTAGTCATTTGCAGTGACATTCAGTTGGTCAACTCTTGGCTAGCAGGTGACTCCAATTTTTGATGCCTTAATTGCATTAGATTATCAGTAATTCTGTTACCTGAGCATATCTGCTGCTTCTCACAGAATCAATAAATGCTAATAGGGGAAAAATAATTTCCAGATTTCAGGATAACCTCTCTGAATTTGGGACATTTCTCAGATCTTGACTCCATGTATTTTCACTGCTTCTTAACTCTCATATACCTTTAAACATATCTTTTCTATTTTTCCAATGTTCTATTTTTCTCAGCAGAAATATTGCTAAAATAATTTAATTTACCATTTTCAGAAGTGAAATTCAAATTACCTAACTTCAATAGTATAAAGAAACACTAGACATGATTGTTAAAATGAGATTGACCTGTATTAATGTTCTTATGTCAGTCAGTCTTCATAAGAGTATTAAGGAAAAATTAGAAAAGTACATTTCCTTTTTTATAAATTAAAGGGATCTTATGAAGAAAGTATTCTAATAACGTAAAGGAAGGCAAGAAAAGAAAAACCAAGGCAAGTATGGGATAAAAAAGAGAAAGGATACGCTACGCTGGGAGCGCCCGGGGTCTAAGGGGGGTCTGGGCGGATGGCCCCGGCAGCTGGCGCTCTGGTTCGGCCTGCGGCTGCGGGCAAGGGAACTGGGCGCACCATGCTCGCCGCCGCCGTGGGGAGTCTCCTACATCCCGGCCCGGGGAGCCTCCTCCGATGTGCCCCGGGGACGACTCTCCGGCCCCGGGGTCTCCCCGGCTACTCCACAGGCGGGACCCCCAGGGGCTCTGGGCCCCAAGATCCGGGAAAGGTTCACAGGGTCCCCGCCGAGCACACGCCCTCACAATTCGACAAGAAAATCTTGCGGTGGACCGGGCGTTTCAAAGCGATAGAAGAGATCCCGCCTCGGATCCCGCCAGAAATGATAGATGCTGCAAGAAACAAAGCTCGAGTGAAAGCTTGTTACATAATGATTGGACTTAAAATTATCGCATGTTTTGCTGTGATTGCGTCAGCCAAAAGGGCTGCAGAACGACATGAATCCTTAACAAGTTGGAACCTAGCAAAGAAAGCTAAGTGGCGTGAGGAAGCCGCACTGGCTGCACAGGCTAAGGCTAAGTGACATTCTGAGTGACAGAGTGTTAATCAGAATATCATCTCTATTATCGGCAACAATAAAAGATAGGTAGAATAGACTATTTGGCAAAATATTTGCCATTATTTTATTTTGGTGGAAAGAAGCACAAAGTCTTTTTATTTTTACTTTTTAGTAAACTTCTCTTGAAGTCTAACAGACATTTAGAAAAGTGAACATAAGTTTATACATCTTGATGCATTTTTATACAGTGAACACACCTGCCTAAGCACTACCCAGATCAAGATGTAGAATATCAACAGCACCTAAGAAGCCTCCTTCCTGCCCTGTCTCAGTCATTACCCTACACTGTGCCAGTTTTATCACCATAGATAGTTTTCTTGTTTTTGAACTTCATATAAATGGAATTACACAATATGTACTTTTGAGTGTGGATTCTGATATTCAACATTATATTTTGAGATTGATCCACAAATTATGTAGTATGAATTCATTCATATTTATTATTATAATACTCCATTGTATAAGTATGCCACAATTTATATGGATATTTGGTCCAGTTTTTAGCCATTAGAAATAGTGCCAAAATGAGTACTCTGTGCATGTCATTTAAATGTTATTGAACTAAACCACTAAGGAAGGACTCTTTAAAATCTAATTTTTAAACAAAGTTCTACTGCATTTGATAATTGAATAGTACCTTTGGGCATCCTTTCCATGGTTTGCAGTAACTAGGTGAAACACACTTGAAAATTTTATAACCTAAGAACTATTAATTATTCTAAAAAGATAAAAGTACTAAAACAACAATTATAAAAACAACTTAAAAAGACAAAAACATTAGAAAGGGAAAAATGGGTGTGTCAATGGTCTTTGAGACCTAAAACGACTTTTAAAATTATGTTATCTCCTCCACACATTTTTGGCATCTATAGTTTTTTAATCATAAGCACAAGTAGTTGAAATGATATAATTTCCAGTTTATTGTACATTAAGTATACTTTAACATATTTTCCCTCATCACCATGAAGCTACATAGCTCATTCAATTTATGGAGTATATCTGCTTTGTAATTTTAAGGACAAAACTAGTCCTCTTTATCAAAGTAATAAACCAAACCAAACTCATTTTCTGTTAGAAAAAAAAAAAAAGAGAAAGGATAAAAACATCCTAAGTTATAAAGTGGCAAAGTGAAATCCAAGCATATCAATAATTACATCAAATGTGAATTGTATTTTGAAAATCTATTTAAAGGCTCAGATTAATGGAATGGGTAAAAAAGCAAGACCTTACTATATTCTGCCTGTAAGGCATACCTTTTATATAAAAAGGTGTAGATGGCTTGAAGGTAAAAGGATTGGAGAAAGTTTTTATTATGCTAACAGTAAGCATGAAAAGACTGGAGTTGCTAGTTTAATATCAGATAAAATAGACACCAAAATAAAGTAACAGAACTAAAGAAGAATGTGTCATAATAACAAAAGGAAAAATTTTTCAGGAAAACAAATGATTATAAATATACATATGTCTAAGAAAAGGATCTTAAAATATATAAAGCAACAACTGACACTCTGAATGGAAGAAATAGATAATCTCACAATTCTGGTAGTAGGTCTTACACAGCTATCTCACAGTAACTGATATAACAATTAGACAAAAAACTCAGTGAGGTCATAGAAGATCGAACTGTCAATTACCTTGATCTAATTGACTTTTGTACTACATTAGACACAAACTTCAGAGTATGTGCTGTACAAGGACACATGATGCTTTTACCAATACATAAATTATATTGGACTTCAAAACAAATATCTATACATTTAAAAAGATTAAATAACAGAAAGTGTATTTTCTGACTGTAACAGAAAATGGAAATTGGTAATAACATCTACAAATAGCCCACGTATCTAAATAATAAACATCACATTTCTAAATAATTCTTGGGTCAATCACAAAATTAAGATATTGAAACTTGTGGCATTCAGATATAACAGTGTTTAGAAAAAAATTTCAGCTTTAAATACTGAAATCAGCACTTAGAGGCAAACTTTCAGTTTTAAGTGCTTTCATTAAAGATTAATTATCTATTGCTAAAGACCTATAGTTCAAATTTAAAAACTTAAAAAGAAGAGCAAAGTATTCCCAAATAAGCAGAAGGAAGGAAATAAAGATGAGAGCAGAGGTCATTGTTATAGGATATATATGCATAAATAACTTCCATAATGACAAAAACAAATTCTATAAAAACACCAGAGAAAAATGACATTTTTTCCCAGATTTGTTAAGGTATAACTGGCAAAGAAAAGTTGCCAATAGTTAGGTCGTGCAACATGAAGTGTTTTTTAATTGCACAAACATGATGATTTAATATATATAGACACTATAAAATGATGATCACAGTAATTATCATATCCATCACCTCACATAGTTACCATTTGTATGTATATGTGGTAAAAACACTTTACTCTTTTAGCAAATTTCAAGTAAACAATACAATATCAACTATAATTACCATGCTGCACATTAGATCTCCAGAACTTATCCATCTTACAACTGAAAGTTTGTGCCTTTTGACCAACATCTCCCCATGTACCATACCCTCCAGTCCCTAGCAACCACCATTCTACTCTAGTTCTAGAAATTCAGCTTATTGAGATTCTACATACAAGTGAAACAGTGCCTGGATTATTTGACTTGGCATACTGCTCTCCAGATTCATCCATGTTTCAACAAATGCCAGGATTTCCTTCATTTATCTGTTTTTAGACCACTACCATATTGTTTCCATTGCTATATCTTTGTGATATAGTTTAAAATTAGTAAGTGTGATTCTGGGAAAATGATGGTGGTGAAAGAAGGCAAGGTAGAAACCTTCTCCCCAAATCATATATAGAACATGAAAATAGAGCAAATACAACTAAACCTCAAAATCACCTGAAGACTGCAAAACTGACTACCTACATCTGGGAAAAAACAAAAGACCTCACATAAAATGGTAAAGAAGCAAAGTCCTGGTATGGTGGGACCCAAGACCTCCCCTGACCCTAGCCCACAGGTAGGAGGAAGAGGAAGAGAACATGAAGGGATTAGGAACCCAAGACCACTGAACACCTGGCCCTGGAAATCTGCTTTGGGGACACAAACCCACAATATATGGTACTCTGGTGATAGTGAGGTGCACAACAAAGACAGACAGAACATTCAGTGAGGCTGAGATTCTAGCCACTTTTATAAAACAGGTTCAATATACAGGTCCCCTGAGACAAAATCAATGCAGGCAGTTTGAAAGATTTTCCAGCAGTGAGAGAGACACCAGAAGGGCAAAGGTTATGCAGTGCTCTTTGCTCAGGAGAAAGGGCAGGTGTAAATACCTCCCCAGCCCACCCTCAGCCCAACAGGTAGGAACTCTCAAGAGCCCCAGATTCTCTATCCCCCTAGCTGGCAACGCAGCTCTGATGCTCCTCCCTGTGTCACATAGCTTGCTGACCAGCAGTGCACTCAAACTTTGCTACCTGGTAGGCAAAGGGAGACCCTCCAAGCTTTCTCAGCCCTGCTTTGCACCAGCCAGGGAACTGACTGTGGGAGCCAGTCCCAGGAGATCCTTTCTCTCAGCAGGCACCATTCCTACTTTCCTATGGCCCCTGTCATTGCTGCAGGCCAGACAGAGGGCAACTCTGTTAACAGCAACTACTGTGGCACAGCCCCAAGTATTCTCCCTGTGCCTGTGATCAGCTGACAGCCCACATAGCCCACCTGAAATCAGATCACTACAAGTCAGACAGAAAGGTGCCCTGCCCACTGCATACTAGCAGATGTACCTCCCACTTAGGTAATTGAAATTCTGGGCACTAGAGGGGGCCTCTTCCATGAAGCTATAATACCATAGGAAACAAAAAAAACAATGAAGAGGCAGAGGAATTTGGTCTAAACAAAACTACAAGACAAAACACCAGAAAGATGGCTGAGTGAAAATGAAATCATCAATCTTATTGATAAAGACTTCAAAGTAAAAGTCATAAACATGCTCACAGATGCACAGAAAAATATTCAAGATCTCAGAGAGGACCTCAATTAAAAGATAGATGACCTGCAAAAGAGTCACTCAGAGCTGAAGAATACAATATCTGAAATGAAAAATAAAATGGAGGGATTTAATTGCAGGCTTTTACAGGTTGAAGAAGTTGTAAATGATCTGGAAATTATGGAACAAGAAAACAATGAAGCCAAAAATAACAGAGATAAAAGGATCTCTAGGAACGAAAGAATAATAAGAGAGCTATATGACCAATCCAAATGGAACAATATTTGCATTATAGGGGTATGAGAAGAAGAAGAGAGAAAAAGGGATAGAAAGTCTCTTTGAGGGAATAATTGTTGAAAAATTCCCCAAATGGGGAAGGAAACAGACACTCAGGTCATGGCAGTGAAGAGCCCCTAACAAAATGAACCCTAGGAAGACAACACCAAGACATATAATAATCAAAACGGCAAAGATCAAGGACAAGGACAGAGTATTGAAATCAGCCAGAGAGAGAGAAAAGATTACTTATATATATAAAAAAAATATCCACCTATCAGCAGACTTCTCAACAGAAATTTTACAGGACAGAAGGGAGTGGCATGATATATATAATGTAATGAAACAGGACTTCCAATCAAGAATACTCTACTCAGAAGGATTAAAATTTAAATTTGAAGCAGGGATTAAAACTTTTTCAGATAAATAAAAGTTGAAGGATTTCATCACCAGTAAGCCAGTCCTACAGGAAATGTTAAAGATACTGGTCTTTGTGGAAATGTTCCTAAGGCTCACCAGAGAAAATAATCCTTGATAAAGGTAGTAGATAAATTAATTACCAAGCAAGTACAAAATTAAATCAATTATTCACAAAATCAGTCAAGGCACACATAAAAAGTGCAGAATATGACACCTAATATAGAAAGTGTGGAGGAAGAAGAAGAGGGAAAAATGTACCTTCAAATTGTGTCTGAAAAAGAGAAATGAGCAACTTAAGATAGACTGCTAGATAGTAAGAAAGGTATCCTTGAACATCTGGTAACCAGAAACTAAAGCCTACAATGGCAATAAGTACATGTTTATCAATAATTGCCTTAAAGGTAAATGGACTAACTATACCAATCAAAAGACAAAGAGTGGCAGAATGGATAAAAAAACAATACCCATTATGCTACCTAAAAAAGAGACTCATCTCAGACAGAAGGACATACACAGACTAAAAGTGAAGGGATGGAAAAAGATACCTCATGCAACTAATAGGGAGAAAAAAGCAGGAGTAGCAGCACTTATATCAGATTAAATAGATTTCAAAACAAGGAAAGTGATGAGACAATGAAGGACGTTACATAATGACAAAGCAGTCAGTCCAACAAGAGGATATAACCATTATAAATATATA